CTCCTGGCTCTCCCCGCTCGCTCTGCCCGCCCTGCGCCCACACCCCGGCCCGCCTTCCCCACCGCTCATCGCCCTGTCGCCTCCTCGGTCCTTTCCGCCCCTCACAGCCCCGAGCTCTCGCATCCTCAGGTTGCCCCGGGACCAATCCCCTCTTCCCGCCTCCTGCCTCCTGTCCGGCCTGCGGCTTGGTTTTGCCCCGGTGTCCGCAGGCTGTCCTGGGGACAACAGAAAACACAGGCAAAGCCCACTTCTGTCTCTTGACCCTTGGTAGGTACCATGGGGGCAAGTACGCCGGGTCACCCTTTGGATCTCCGGGACAGGTTTTAGCAGTGAGAGAAGATGACAGCTCTGGGGAGACCCTTCTGTGGACAAGAGGCTCACCCATTCCTCTCATCCTGGGGACACCTCCCCAGATGTCTCTCAAGACACAGGATCGGCCCTCTCTGAAGCAAGACAGATGCCCAGCAGCACAAACGCGCCACCCATGGCGTCAGGCCTTGCAATATGTTTTGGTTTCTTTGGTTTAAGTACAGCAGAGGACCAGCTCTCATTTCAGGATAGTCGGGCCAGTGGTAAATCCACACCCCGGTGATACAGAGTCAGTGGTACTCAAAACAACACCACGTGTGTCTTTTATATTTGAACACTTTCATGAACATTACCTACTATAACTCACACCTGTCAGGTACGTAGCATCGCCCCCATTTTAAGGAAAGGGAGACTTAGAGTTTGCGTGACTTCTCCAAGACCGTACAGCTAGTAAGTAGTTCAGGGGGGATGGAACCTGGATTTTGGACTGAAAATTTCCTCCCCATCCTTCTCTTCAAGGCCTCTTGGGTGTGTACTACATCCACTCATCCCAGGTGGCTGTGGAACGGGGTTTTCCTCCGCAGAACACAGCGAGCCTTCTTGTCTTCAAGTTTCAGCTTAAACATCATCACCAAAAGGCCCTCTCTGACAACCATTGTGTTTAACTTGATAGTCTCTTCTGTCCCATTCTTTATGTCAGTACCCAACTTATTTCTTTCACTGTACTTTTTTCAATCTCTAAATATCATTTTTACTAATTTGTTTACAACTGTGTATGGTCCTTCTCCCCACCAGACTGAGCCCTGCAAGAACAGAGATAATGTGTCTCGCTCACTATCAGATGCCTCCTACCTCCCACCGGGCCTGGAACTGACAAGCTCTCAATAAGCATTTGTTGAGTGAGTGAATGAATAAGTGATTCAGGATGAGGGAGACCGTGTATAAATATTCACAGAATACCTATTTTAAACAAATAATAATTAAGATGTACTCAATGAGACCGTATTTTATGTGTTGTACAAATATTTATTGAGTGCTTACTATGTACCAGGTACTTTTCTAGCCACTGGGATACAACAGTAGACAAAATATAATCTTTGTTCCCATGGAATTTATAATCAAGTGTTTGTGTATGTGTGTGTGCGTGCATTTCTGTGCAAGACAGGTGACACAAATAAATGAGTTGGTGATATGTGCTGCAAAGAAAACAGAGCAGGAATGTGAGGGGTCAGGGAGAGGCAAGGCAGAATGCCATTTTCATTAGCGTCATCTGAGAAAGCCTTCAAGAAGGTGACAGTTGAACAAAGACTGAAGGAGCTGAGGGAGTGAGGCCTGCAGACATCTGAGGAACATCTACTAGCCCTCCTTCTGTGATGATTTAGAAGGTGCATCTGAAGCTTCCTTGCAGGCTATCAGTTGTAATAGTGAACACGATCAACACTGTCTTGTACAATTTGAGGAGGGGGAGACCCAGTATTTGGGCATTTTATTTGTTTGGAATCCAGATCATCAGAAGTTGTCAATGGTCATGCTAGCTGGGCATGTTATTTGAAAAATACTGATTTGATCATTTTAATGCCTTAATATTTTTGTGAGCTAGCCCATTTTTAGCTCATATTTACAAGGACAGCACCAAAAAGCCTCCGCGGGGCATTTTCCAGCCTCCGCTTGGCATATGGTATTCACTGTGGCAGAGGGACAGAGCAAGACCTGGGAAGAGGGGACTTAGGGAGCCAGTGTGGCTCCATGGAACAGGTGGGGAGGAGTTACTGAAACAGGGAGGGGATGAAGAGGCACTGGAAAGGGGGCTGGGGGCTGGGGATGACACTAGGGAAGGAAGCTTAGGAACCACAGGCTCCTCATCCCCACCATCTCGACCACTGTTATTGTTATTCTTATAATCACCAGGATCTCTTTACATCTTAAGTACGGTGGTGAATAAGTAAATTAGGAGTTCTCAAGTTCAACTTTTCAAGGAAGAGTTTCTCCTCAATGCTGGCTCCTCCCCCATCTCCCCAAACTCAACAGACACACCAGGGCTCCTTTCTCTCCTTGCCCACCCTCCCTCCCCCCAACTGGCCTGAGGTGCACCTTTCAGTGGGGTTCTCTGTACAAATGCAGGCTAAGTGTGCACGGTGTCAGGACAGTGTTCTCCAGAGAGCATTCCCCCAAGAGGACTTCACAGTTTAAGACAGGCAGCCCTTGCACAGCAAGCAAGCTGAGCCGGAGAGAATGGGCAGCGAGCCTCCTGGAATGAGAAAGCCAAAGCTGGGATCAAAAAACACGCAGCCTTCGTGCTTCTCCACCTCCGCTCGCTTCAGGTGGCTGCGCTTGGCAGCAAAGGGGCCGAGCACACCTCTGACCAGCTGGAGTCTGTGGAGTAGCCTGACTCTGAATTGGTCCCTGCCCTTTGGAGTCCCAGGAGGCAGGCGATCCAAATTTGTGTTACAAGGCTGCACTCTAACCAGCTGAGCTCACTGGCCAGCCCAAAATTGGGATCTCCTCTTAGCCATGGTATATCTTGGAGGGGAGACCATCCCGTCTCCTCTGACTCACCCTCCTGCTGCCACATTGCTGTGCTATCTGTCCTCGGATTTCAGCATCTGTTCTTGTGTGACAAGAAGAAACAGCTCCCTTGGGTACCAGCCTCTCTCGATCCTTCCTGCTATAATGTCAAGAGGGGGAGGTGTGTGTGGAGTACACAGCATGGATGTGTGTGCTGGGCATCCTCTAGAGAGAAAACGAAAGTGTCTATGCTGTGTCTGCAGGATGGGTTTCCAGGAGACCATTCTAAGCACAGCTCCATTTCTTCAACGCGTTTGGCTTTCTCTGGGATAAAGTTGTAGGGTGGGTGGAGAGAGTGTTGGCCAAGAAAAGGTGCACCTATTCCCATGCACCAGTGGCTTTATACACATGATCTGATTTTTACGGTTTGTGAATATGTATATTGTTATGTCCATTTACCTTGGGGTGGCCCAACTAGTAAGTGACAGAACTGGATTTTTGGACCCAGCTATGAGTCCAAACATCCACTCTTCTCACCTCAGAATGGCACCTCCCTGATTGTGACATGTCACACTGAGAGCTATACAAAGACAATTACTCCATGTTGTTTGGGACGTCATGGCAAGTTGAACTTACATACAGGACAGTTGGACTCAGCTTCAAAAAATGTTACACCAAGACATGAATGAACAATGAGGCGTTTTCATTGTCCAGGTCAAGGAAGAACGTTCAGGATTGAGAAAGAGCACGTCCTAGAATGAGATAATCGCCCTAGTCTGTGCTCCTGCATTATCACTACCGTTCTTTTAACCCAACTTGGATTCTTGCTTCAAGCTAGTGATGCTCTACTCTGGCCACATATAAGAATCACTTGAGGAGCTTTTATGAAATACTGATGCCCTGGGAGACTCTAATTTAATTGGTCTGGGGTGGGCCCTGGGCATTGGTATTTTTTTTTACAAGCTTCTAGGTGATTCTAATCTGTGGAGCCAGGGTTGGGAAGCAATCCTCCAAACTGGCCTGGTAGTGGTGCAGCAGGCAGAGGCGTGCTTTACCTCTCTTGACGATTTACTGGTAACAAGTTTGCTAATGATGTTTACCATGTAAGAAAGGGGCCAGATGTCCAGATTAGCTGTAAAACTAATTGATTTCCTTGCAAAACATGCTAACATTTAGTACTGACAGAATGTAATCCTAGAATCTCTCTGAAGGGTTGAAGAAAATCCCAGGCAGTCATCTAATCCACTCCTCTGGATTAGATGGGGTTGGAGAGTGAGAAATACTTATATAGATTAGCAACATTAAAAAAAATTTTAAAGACAGAAAAATAAAGGGCAACCAGAATGGCAGAAAGACCGGGTTTCCCCTAAGGGAAAAAGTAATTTCTCCTATTCCAGAAGAAATCAGAGCCCCAGCCAGTCTGTTCACCCACTGCCCTTTCTCTGAGGGTTTCCTGGCAGGTGTCATCCTGGAGGATGGATGTGTCTGCTGGTGGCAGCAGCAGCTTTTCCTACAGGGGAAGCTGGGCTGACACACATACTCCTGGGAGGATTGGGGATTTCAGGGTATGTTTTATAGTTAGCTGGCTCTTTTTATGACCCCAGATCCCTGTGCATTAGAACTAACCCTCTTCCTGGCTTCCCGCTGCCTTTCCTCTCTCCTGTGCAGCCTGGAGTCACGTGCACAAGGTCTGGTTTTACTGATGGCTGTCAGCCTCTCCCTTTGGGAGCAAGTGCATACACTCACTTTTTCCAGTGGTCTTCTCAGTCTGATTTAATGGATATACCCGGACTGATGACACATCAGCATGGGATCTTCTTTTGCTTCTTGGGTAATTGTCCTATTAACAGCTGTCCCAGGCAAAGGGAGGGGAGAGTGTGGGGGAAGAGGGGAGAGTGTAGGGGGAAGGGAGAGAGTGTAGGGAGAGGGGAGAGAGTGTAGGGGGAAGGGAGGACAGTAGCTTCCTGGGTGAAGAAAGACACACCCTGGATTTACGAGGTTAATCAGCAGGTTCTGGAACGGAGGTTTGCACATGCTCAGACTTGATCTGGAACTCTAGAGAGTGGAAGACAATCTTTTGGTCTCCACTCCCTACCATGGAGTATTAAATATCCTGGGCTCCCACACTCTGCCAGGCCTGACTGCTTGCTGTGAGATGGTCTCTACACCTATGTCTCCTCTGCCCTTGCAACTCTTTCTTTCCCTTTCTTGTCCCACCTTTGTGAAACTGCTAAACAGGAAACTTTTTCTAACTACCCTCCAGTCATTCTTTAACCCAATGATACAGTTCCTGTTCCACCTGTCTCCTATTTTACACTCATATAATTATTATATACATTTAAATACCGTATATGAAGTAGGGATGTGAAAGAAAATGAACAGGAGAGCATGGGCAAAACACAAAAGATCTCTCCACTCCTCTCCTACCCCTTCTTAACATGGGCCCCTCCTCCTCAGTGCCTGCCACTCCCTTCACACCCAGGACCCCAGGTAGAAGGGGAAAAAGATGGTAAGAGTCCTATACCAAGATACTTACGAATCATTGAAAAGTGACCAAGTGAATTTAAGCTCTCAAAGTGATGTGATAGGATCCACTTTATCTCCCCAGGGTGGCCTCCCCACCTACAGCTGCCATGTTTCATTTAATATTTATCTTATTTTATTTCATGTTGGTAAGTCTTTTATCCACCATATGACTTCATTTTGTATTCTAGGAACCTGGCACCTTTGCATGCAGCTCAAAAGACACTTGGGGGTGGCAGGTTAGCTCAGTTGGTTAGAGTATAGTGTCATAACACCAAGGTCAAGTGTTCAGATCCCCCTACTGGTCAGCCATCAAAAAAAAAAAAAGACATTTGGAAAATACAAATGTTCTTGTCTGAAATGTTCTTGTTGTCACCAAGGTTTCCTGACTCCTCATAGATAAAGGATTGCCCAGTTTTTGTTTGTTCGAATTGTGTTGGGACTCAAAATTGTTCTGTATTCACTGTGTCAAACAAACAACCACTCTTAGTATGCTCTCTCTCCTTCCACCTTCTCAAAATAGTCTTGTATATAAAGGCTATAACTTTAGTTGAGCCTTGGTATCTTTCAGCTCTGTGGTTTCTAAATATTTCCTTCTCAGCTCCCTTGATTTAAGGTTAACGTTCACACCTAAGTTTCTCTTCCTTTCTTACCCAGTATTTACTGTCATGGTCTCACTAATTCAGGGGTCTCCTGTTTTCTTGGTAACAGACCATATCCTTCAAAATCCCACCTTCTCCGAGATGTGATTAATTTCAGCTTTTAACGGTAACTTCTAATCACAGGCCAGCCTGCTTGAGTGCCCCCCTTGAATTATTCAGTATTTATTGAGTATCTAAGTTCTATGCACTGTTCTGGGGTTTGTTTTTTGGTGGCTGTCCGGTACAGAGCTAGGTTTTGAAGACACAACAGTTAATGCACTAATCCTAGCCCTTCCTCATGGAGTTTATATCCTAGCATTTACTGGGAGACAAACAGTAAAACGAATAAGTAAAATGTGGTCTCTGACTCAGTCTTGGAAAGAGGTGAACCAGCTCAGTAGTTTTGTAGGGATTCAGTGAATGGATGCTGTTGTAGGACAGTACTTTAAAAATTCTTGGAAAGATTACTATTATCTTTTTTGTTCTTATTTTTTGGCGACCGACCCAGTATTATCTTTTAATTCTACTTTTCCTTGATTATCTATCAGCTGTTGGCTTTGTCCTTAGTGACTCTCCCGCTAGACTGTAGGCTCTTCCCAGAAGGAACTTGAGTTGCCGCCTTTGTCCCACATCTGGGAGCAGCTTAATGATTCCCTAATCGTGGTTGTCCGACCAGCTGTATTAGAACGGAGCGGACACGTTATCAAAGACATCCAGGGTTACTGAATCAGAATCTCTGGACTGGGGTCTCCAAGCTCCCCAAGTGACGCTGGGAGTAAACTAACGTTTGGGAGGCAGAAACATATATTAGAACGGAGCGGACACGTTATCAAAGACATCCAGGGTTACTGAATCAGAATCTCTGGAGTGGGGTCTCCAAGCTCCCCAAGTGACGCTGGGAGTAAACTAACGTTTGGGAGGCAGAAACATGTTTCAGAATATGGCTAGCTGGAATCAGAGAATTCTGTAAACGCAGGAAAGTCCGTAAAAAGCAAGATTAAGTTCCGTGGGGGGTAAGGTAATGGGGGGAGTGTTTCTCTCATGACAAAAATCGCTATGACGCCACATCTTTCACACCGCCAAAGTGCCACACAGCCCGTCGTGGGAACCCGTCCGCAGGGAAGTTCCCGCGAAATGACCCTTGCCCGGGCCATGAGAAACCACCGTCCATGGCGGCTAGGGTAGCTGCGCCAGGCCCGCACCCACAGGAAGCTGGGGTATCGGTTTCCGCTGCCAGCACCCAAAATGGCGGCACGAGCGTCGGCACTATGAGAACCACGTGCTCTGCGCCTGCCTCGGCCCCCTCGGGTCTCACTGGACTTTTGCAAGTCACTGTGGGAACCCTCAAGGGGGGGATTCCGCGCTCCGGCGGCAATACCGCCTCCCAATCCCCCGCCCGAGGCCCTCACTATCTAGCCTCAGAATGCACTGGAAGCACATTGCCTGTATACTTCTCTGCGCGCCCAGCCTGTAACACCGCCCACCGCGAATGCACGGTGGAGGGGCCCAGAATTCCGGGCACTAGGACCTTCGCTCCACTCATTGGTGGGCCCATTTCGCGGGGCGGGCTTAGACACCCATTGGGCCGTGGGCCATGTCAATCTTGGAAAATTGGGCCCGGGGAGGTGGAGGCGCACTCAGCCACTGGGCTCTCTCTGCTGTCAATCAGAGCGATATCCGGCGGCAGCCACGGTCTGGGCTCGCTGATTGGAGAAACTGTTCCTGGGGTGGGCGCGGCGGGCGGGCTTCCGAGTGCGGTGGGAGGAGGGTGCGGGGAGGGAAGCGGAGGCTGGGGAACGCTAGGCCGGCCGGCGGCGGCGGCGAGGCCGGGAGTCGGGCTGAGGGCCTGCTGTGGCGGCAGCGGCAGACGCCGAGCTCAGCAGCGGGTATCGGTCACATTCCTTTCCCTGAAGGGAGGGGCGCAGCGCCGTGGGGCCGAGGCTTATGGGGTGAGGGGCGGCGAGATGGAGCTGAGGGGCAGGAGGCGGGAGCCGGGCGGCCGAGCGGGCATCGGGGCCGGGCCGTGGGCCTGGTAGGAGTCGCGGGGCTGAGAAGAAAGCCGGCTCCGGGGTGGGATGGACTGGGGAGGGTTGAGGGCGCGAGAAGGCGTGGTGTGAGGCCTCGGCTTGGGAGTGGGGTGGGGCCACAGGGAGGAGGGCGGGGTGGGGTTTGCCTTTACGAATGGGTCAAGGCCGGGAAAGTAGCACTTGTTTTCTTGCTGCCCCGGAAGGCTACAAGCCGAGGCGCCGAGAGTGGGCATGGCGACTTGGTCCCAGCCGGACTCGGGTATCAGGGGCGGGGTGGGACCGGACTCAGGACAGGCCCTCTGGCCTTAACTCTATCTTTAAGGGACTTTGTTCGGTTTCTAGAACTTAATTGGCTCTTTTAGTAATAAATTGCGTATGAACGGGAAAGCAGTGTAAGCAGGAATTCCGGGTCGCAGTTGTGTTTCCTCTAACCAAATGCGTGTGTGTGTGTGTGTGTGTGTGTGTGTGTGTAGATACCTCTTCTTCTTTAGAGTGAGGTTGGTAGATGGGTCACAACGTTGAAGAGGGGAGGGCGCTGTCTTTGTTTATGAGATTAACGGAAGCTCAGAAGTGGAGACCAGAAACTGAAAGGTAGATTTACCCTCTCTCCACTGGGCAGTCCGGGTTGAGAACTTGGCCATACCTTCTGCTTTGGCTCAGAAGGTCATATGAATGAAAATAGAACCTGCCTATGAAAATTCTGGACGGAATAGTTCTGCGAAGCCCCCCACCATCCCTCTCCTTCCCTCCTTTTTTTTTTTTTTAATTTTAATGATGTGAGGATGACAGGAAAGGGAAATTAGATTTCAAAGTTGGGAAAACAAAAGGCATTCTTTTGTACGAAGTCGTAGGCTGAACATTGTCCTCGTGTCTTTTCACACTTTCACCCATTAATAATCTTTCCCCTTTAGAACTGTAAGGGTCTATTACAGACAGTCTTCTCCTGAGAGGTGGGAAACCACCTTTCAGTTAAGATAGGAAATGGGCTTCTCATGCTAAAATTAGAATCTGGGTAATGTGACTGTATGGCGGGGAGAAGGACTGATAAATCAGTCAAGGTGTAAGATATTTTGGGTGTCGTGGGCATTGCCTGCTTATCCAAAGCAAGCTACTTTGTAGGGTATTTCAAATTTAGTATCCAGTAACTGAGATCCTTTGTGATCAATACCTTTCTTTTATAGTTGTTGTTCTGTCTATAACAGGGTTTTTTTTTTCTGAACGTACAAGTGATTTGGGCTTTTTTCCCTGTAAACGTGGCTCTTTAATGTATTTCATACCTTCTATTATGGAGGTTCCTCTATCCTGATCACGGTGTGAAAAGTATGGAATCTTATCCTGTTGCTCTTGTGATTTTCATTTCAGGTTTCTCTGGAAACCCCCCTGGTAAGTGTGGAGGAGGCGGGACACTCTGACCCAAGACAAAAGGCCTGTAGCTCCAGCCAAAGAAAATAAACCTTAGGAGGGAGAAGGAAAAAAAAAATCCATCAGCTGTTACTGAGAACAGCCTGCAGTGGAATCTACAGAGAGGATAACTAATGTGAGTGAGGAAGTGACTGTATGTGGACTGTGGATACCGTAAGTCACGTGGGCCCTGAGGGCCTGGACTGGGTTAGGAAGAGTTGTACTTTCGGAGGTGAGGTGTTGAGAAGGGAAAAGTGAATGTGGTCTGGAGTGTGGCCTTGGCTCCACAGGGTGTGCTTTCCTCTGGGGCCATCAGTGAGCTCAGCCCCTGTGTTCTGCCAGGGTGGGGTACAGGGTTTGGCACTGAGGAGGGTAACCTGCTGGCTGGAGCGGCAGAGCAGTGACCTTGATTTGTCTTTCGGAAGATTTAAAAACCAAAAAGCATAAACATTCTGGTCCTTCAGCAATGCTTTCTCTGAAGAAATACTTAACGGAAGGACTTCTCCAGTTCACCATTCTGCTGAGTTTGATTGGGGTGCGGGTGGACGTGGATACTTACTTGACTTCACAGCTCCCCCCGCTCCGGGAGATCATCCTGGGGCCCAGTTCTGCCTATACGCAGACCCAGTTCCACAACCTGAGGAATACCTTGGATGGCTATGGTATCCACCCCAAGAGCATAGACCTGGACAATTACTTCACTGCCCGGCGGCTCCTCAGTCAGGTGAGGGCTCTGGACAGGTTCCAGGTGCCAACCACTGAGGTAAATGCCTGGCTGGTTCACCGGGACCCGGAGGGGTCTGTCTCTGGCAGCCAGCCCAGCTCAGGCCTTGCCCTCGAGAGTTCCAGTGGCCTTCAAGATGTGACAGGCCCAGACAACGGGGTGCGAGAAAGCGAAACGGAGCAGGGATTCAGTGAAGATTTGGAGGATTTGGGGGCTGTAGCCCCTCCAGTCAGTGGAGACTTAACCAAAGAGGTTAGTGGCCCTGTGGTGGGTGGGTGGGGCCTGGGGTTGGGAGGTGGGCTGGTCCTGAAGGACTGTGGTATAGCACCAAGTGCTATAAAGAGCCAGAGAGGTTCCAGAGGGGGTCTCAGGCACTTTCTTAGATGGAAATGGGCTTAATTGTCTGACTTTAGGACTGGGGACTGGTAGCATTTCCCTGTGGTGAACCATTGACCTACCTCTAAATGTACCCTCAGGGCAGTGGGAGGTTCCTGGCACATGCCAGGGTGTTTACTGCTTGGATTTCAACACGACTGCTGGAGGCCTGGGTGGGGGAGGGAATCCTGTTGTGATGGGCCTTGATGCAGTGTGTATCTGTTGCTAAGACACAAATACTTTGTGGACTCTTGCCTTGTACCTCCCCTCACATCGAAACACGCATACATACCCTGAAGTTTTCCTCCTCTGTGGTTAGGCCTGTTGTTAAAAGATCCTGATAATTCAGCTCTCCTAAACCTGGGCCAAGGGGTAGATTTGGATAGTTATTCTTGGCCAGGAGCAGGCAAAGGCTCCTATTCTTTGCTAAAGGCCGACTGCAGGGAGTAGGGAAGAGAATGCTGGGAGCTAGAAGAGATACTGCATTCTGTTGCCCAAGTCAGCTTGCTTTGAGCTGTCACAGGAGATCTTTAGTGCTTTTCAAGTGGCTGACATGCTGTTCTGAGCAGAAAGTGGTGCAGTTTGTTGCCTTTAACAATGGAAATGGCTACTGCTGCCCCTGCCTTACCAGAATGATAAGACTCTTTTGAGCTATGTGTTCATCTGGCTGTGGCTTACCACCCGGCCTTAGGGAGATTGAAAAAAGGCCCACTGCGTTCCCCTAGCCATTAGGAAAGGAGAAGGCTTTATTGTGCTGGGCTGGGTTTTTCGAGGTGGGGATGAGGAGGGATGTAAAAAGTTTTGCAGAAGCTACAAAACTTGACTCCCTCTGCCCACCAGATCAGAACACGTTTTGCCTCCCTCCCTGCATTGGTTGGATTCCTGTTCCTGATCTCAGTACTCTTGAGTGTTAGTGATTGTCAAAGAATATGGCTTGCTCTAGGCCAGTGGTCCTCAACTGGGTTTGCTCCTGGCAGCCCTGCAGGGGTAGACGTTTTGCCTCCCTCCCTGCATTGGTTGGATTCCTGTTCCTGATCTCAGTACTCTTGAGTGTTAGTGATTGTCAAAGAATATGGCTTGCTCTAGGCCAGTGGTCCTCAACTGGGTTTGCTCCTGGCAGCCCTGCAGGGGTAGCCCCAATCCCATTCCTGCTGGAGCTCTTGTGGGATGGGATGGGGTGGCATGTTTTGGATATATTTGGGTGGATTGGGATGGGATGGGACTGACCCTGCTTTCCTCTGTTTCTTGGCCCTCCTGAAGGTTTTGCTTTCCCTGACCCCAGGCCTTCACTGCTTTCTTTGGGAAGTGGGGTGGGTCAACATTAGGGGCCCAGGCTGGGTATGGGGGAAGGGAAGATTATTATGTGTCTGGGACAACATTTCCTCAGCAACTCAGGGATAAAAATACCCAGGTCCAGAGCATGTGACAGGCATTGCTGGAGCCAGTATTATCCCTGGGGCGGTAGCACTCCCCCGCTGCCCAGCATGTTCGATGGACAGCCATAACCTAGGCCCTTGTCAGGAGTAGGATTCCCCTCAGGGTTCGCACCCTGCCCAGAGCAGGGGGGTGTCCTGTTTACAGATCTTTCCAGGCTAGGAGCAGGCTGTGACCAGGGAGAACATACTGTCTCTGTGACCTGACCTTAGGTTCCAAGGGAGCAGCACTGAGGAGGGAGCTAAATTTCCCCTTGAGAAACTAATCCAGGGAGTCTGATTTGTGATACTGATTCTGTCAGGGGTTTCTTTCCTGCCTGGAGGGATGTGGGCCGGGGGTCAGGCAGAGAATGCTCTTGAACGAAGCTGGGGTGAAAGGGGGAATGGGGGACATATCTGTGTTCAGGACATTGCAGAGCATCTGTCTCCCTAAGCACTGGGTTTTCAGGGTTGTGACTCCCCTCCTCTTGCTTGGCTAGGCCTGGCCAGCACTGTGACATTGCTGCACGTGTGCAAAAATGGCTTTCCCTTTTCCTCTAGTCTGGCCTGTTTTATGGAACAAGCTTCTGGCTTTTGGTGGTCCTGGGTACCCTGGGTTCCTGCCAGCCTGGCTGTGATCCTTGGCTTTGAAAACTGGCCACAGCTTTCTGCAGGAATGGGAAAACTTCTACTTCCAGAAAAGAATTTAGATTCCCGGAGAAGCTGCTGGAGGAGTGTCTGCCTAGTCCTGAGTGGGCTGGATGAGCAAGCTGCGACAGGAGGGAGGAGAGTGGCACCCCTTCCCCCAGAGCTCTCTCACTGCGCCACCCCAGCTGACTGACTGGGCTGGGTGGGGCTGCCCGCCCCTGGGTGCATCTCCTCAAGGAGAGGAGGCGGCCCAGGGATGGGCTGGTTCCTTGCGGCAGCTCCTCCAGCTGCCCTGGTGCAGAGATTGGCTCCTGGCCGCAGCTAGGTAACAGGCGGTGGGAGGGGATTGGCTCCTTCCGCATCTCCAGCGGAGACTTGGGGGAGGAGATTGGCTCTCCGCGCAGCCTAGGTAACGACAGTGGGAGGGGATTGGCTCTTTCCGCAGCCCAGCTGCTGACCTGGGGGAGGGGATTGGCTCTCTGCAGCCTCAGCAGTGACCTGCGGGGTGGGCGGGGGAGGGGATTGGCTCCTTGCTGCAGCCTAGGTAACAAGTTTGGGGGGCGTGGGGAGGGGGAGAGAGGGAGGAGCGGGAGGATAGGCCCAGGAGGGAGCTGGCTTTTCTCTGCAGCTTGAGCACGGAGCATGGGGTGGGAGTCCCATCTCACTGCAGCCTCTGCGGTGAGCTCCGGGTGGGGGCTGCCGGGCGCCTGAGTGGAACTGGGGTTGTGAGGTGGGAGGGGGCTGCTCAAGGATGGAGGAAGGGGGCTGGGCTGGGCCGCCCAGGCAGCAGCACGGGCGGGGCACCCTCCTCAGGCCCCTCGGAGCTAGCAAGGGGCCACCCTTCCAGCCTGGTGTGCTCCCTGCAAGCCAAGAGCTCCTTGCAGCCCCCTGTCCGGCTTCCCGGCACCGGCTGCCCTGGGGCTCATCTCGCAGACCATGACCCGCCTGGACCGCAGCTCTCACAGTGGTGGGGGCCATGCCAAAGGCAGCCGGCCCTTTAACTCTTTGCTGGCTGGCCACCGGGTGGCCCAGCCCCCCTCTGTTCCTGGGTCCAGGGCTTCTGTTCAGGTTGGTGTATGTGGGGAGACTAACGGGAGAGGTACATCTGGGAGGTCTTAGCATTGGTGTGGGTGAAGGTGGGAAAGGGATACCTGCTTAGGGCTAGGGATGTGGGTCTGATCTAAAGGATATTGCTTTCTGGAAAGTATCAGCTTTTTAACCCCGGAATGGAAGGCAGCACTTTGGGGTTTCTTCAGGCTTGTGGGGAGGGCTCAGCCACAGGGGGCGGTGTGTCTAGGAAGCCCAAATGGCTCTATTTATTGGGGTTCTGTGCTGGTGGCAATGGGGGTGGCAGTTGGTGCAGGAACTGTTCAGGAGCCACAAGGGTAGAGCCGGGAGGGAGGCATTTTGGTGCCCAAGCTATAGCTGAGCAGTGATGGGGGGTTACATCCTTGAGTGGATTGACTGGTGGGGATTTGGTGAGTCCTGGGGTGTGGTAAGGAAGGGAGTGAGAGAGCACTGGTGTGAGGGGACACCGTGGGGCTGGCCTGGGTAGGGGTGGGGTGCCCAGTGAGGATCATCTGACTGCCTGAGGCTCCCCTGAGATTGAGGCTTTTGCTAGGATCAGCTAAGTGGGAATTCTGGCAGGGATGGAACTTGAGGTGAGCCCGGGCTTTCAGAGTTGTGGGTGTTCAACCTTGTTCCTGCTGTGAGCCAGGGAAGGCGGAATGACCATAGGAAGGGCTGGAGACAGCCTGCTGTTGTCATTGGTTGCATCAGGTGGTTGGAAATGCAGGGATTTTCCTTTCCAACCCACCCCACCCCTTTATGCAAATGAAATGGCACCACAGGCTGATGCAAGTCTGGTCACTGCTAAGCAATTCTGCATGACAATTTGCCCTTCCTAGCCATGGCCAGCCTCCTGCAGACCAAGTTTTAAGGGGTTCCCATTCCCAACATGAGAGGTGTTTCCTGCTTCCCCCTTCTGTTGTATACAGGGGTGAGGCGGCCTTGCCTTTTGGCTTGGGTGTGTCTCTGGTATGGATCCTAAGCCTACAGACCTTTACCGTGATAGTCATGCTAATGGTTTTTGCTAGTACCTCTTTTGGGGAGGGAAGGGGCAGGAAGTGTATGAATGAAGCCATGCTGGTGCAGAGGGGCTGGGGGTAAAGCCTGGCAGGTGTAGGGCTGGGAGGGCCCCACCCAGGACTAACTGGAGTGACACAAGGAGGGACCTCTGAGGGGCAGGATAGGGAGGGGCACTGGGATCTGAGAGCTAAAGTCATGATCTATTCTTTCAGGACATAGATCTGATTGACATCCTTTGGCGACAGGATATTGATCTGGGGGCTGGGCGTGAGGTTTTTGACTATAGTCATCGCCAGAAGGAGCAGGATGTGGATAAGGAGCTACGAGATGGAGGAGAGCAGGAGGACACCTGGGCAGGCGAGGGCGCGGAAGCTCTGGCACGGAACCTGCTAGTGGATGGAGAGACTGGGGAGAGCTTCCCCGCACAGGTACCCCGCCTCTGCCCACTGGGCTCTCTTTTTCTCCTTGTTCCCCTCTAAACTGAAACCAGGCTGGATTTCTTCCAGAAATTTCCTCGTAGAGAAGGCAGGTTGTGTCTGGGGTGGACTTGAATGTCTCTTTTGGGTGGAATCTATAAGTCACAGTGGCTGGGCCACGGAAGGGGGAGTGGATGAGTAGCAGATGGAGAAGGGCCAGGTTTTGGCAATAGACAGAACTGAGGAGGCAAGGCATCTAGCATCTTCCTGCTTGCTTCAGGACTCTTCCACTCTTACTTCAGTTGTGCCTGGGAGTTTGGGACTTGGGGCCAGCTGTTAGCCCAGGAACGGGAAGGAGACTGCAGGCCTGCAAGAAACTTCAGCCCCTAGCAGCCAGGGCCCAGGCCAGTCAGACTTACAGTTGCTGTTGCCACAGGTGCCTGGTGGGGAGGACCAGACAGCCCTGTCCCTGGAAGAGTGCCTTAGGCTGCTGGAGGCCACCTGCCCCTTTGGGGAGAATGCCGAGGTGAGCAGGACTCCAGGGAAAGTCGACAGAGCAGCAGGGCACGTGGTGTGTCCCTTCATGGCTGGCTGAGGGGCCAGCTTTTGGTTCTGGCCTTGTCCTGGCTGCCAGGAGTGAATTCAGAGGAAGGAAGAAAGAGAAAACCAGGTGGTAGTCTCTGGGAGGAAAATAGAAGGTGATCTTTCCTTCACCCCATTAAAGGCTCTCTGTTTTGCCCTAGTTTCCAGCAGACATTTCCAGCATAACAGAAGCAGTGCCTAGTGAGAGTGAGCCCCCAGCTCTTCAGAACAACCTCTTATCTCCTCTCCTGACGGGGACAGAATCACCATTTGATTTGGAACAGCAGTGGCAAGATCTCATGTCCATCATGGAAATGCAGGTAGGATGGTCAGAACAGGGCACAAACTTACTGGGTTTTGTGTAGGGTGTGTAAGCTTTTCCGTCTCGGGAGAGAAAGAGTAATACTTTATCTGTCTTATCCATAGGAAAGTGGGGACACTGAGAGGTAACTTGTCCAGATGTCTTCTGGGGGCAGTAGGGAGTGGAATCAGGAGTGGGGTTTGGGTTAAATGTCAGGACTGAGCCTTCCAAAGTAGTGCCTGCCTTCTAGGTGCGCCATCTTCCTTTCATTCAGGCAGATAGTCACTTGGCTGGGGACTTCCACGGTTAATAGTAGACCACATTCACATGGTGCTTTACAGCCATCGTCGTCTCACTTGGCCCTCACAGTCATCTAGCCAGCCCTTTATTATTATTATTATTTTTATTTTTTTCTTTTGGTGGCTGGCCGGAATCCGAATCCTTGACCTTGGTGTTGTAACACCACACTCTAACCAGCTGAGCTAACCAGCCAGCTCTCCTTTATTATTTTAAAGGTGAGGAAATTGAAGCTCAGAGGGGTTAAGTGATGTGCCCATGGTCATACAGCAAGTGGTGTAGCTAGGTTTTCTGACTCAAGTCCGGGTACTCTCTCTTCATTGTGCTGATTTTGCAGCAAAGAGGTAGTGTTAGTGTTTTCTTCCTTATCCTTCTGAGATGGGAGGAGTCTGGCCAAACATGACCAGGAGCTGATCAGTTCTGTGTGAGGGAGGAGCCCACACAAAGGAACCCATCTCTGCCAGGCCTGATGGACCAAGTGGGGACAGGAGCTGACCCTGTGGGCTTTGGTTTCTAGTTTCTTGCCTTTTCACCCATGCGTTTGTGCTTCTGTTGGGTGCCTGCAGTGTGTAAGCCTCAGGGGAAAGAGTCTGCTCCTAGTGAATGGTGGTGCTCTTCTTCCCCCCTGCCCTCCCAGGCCATGGAAGTGAACACATCAGCAAGTGAGATCCTGTATAGTGCCCCTCCTGGAGACCCACTGAGTACCAACTACAGCCTTGCCCCCAACACTCCCATCAATCAGAATGTCAGCCTGCATCAGGCATCCCTGGGGGGCTGCAGCCAGGACTTCTCCCTCTTCAGCCCCGAGGTGGAGAGCTTGCCTGTGGCCAGCAGCTCCACACTGCTCCCTCTGGTCCCCAGCAATTCCACCAGCCTCAACTCCACCTTTGGCTCCACCAACCTGGCAGGGCTGTTCTTTCCACCCCAGCTCAATGGCACAGCCAATGATACAGCAGGCCCAGAGCTGCCTGACCCACTGGGGGGTCTGTTAGATGAAGCCATGCTGGATGAGATCAGCCTGATGGACTTGGCTATTGAAGAAGGCTTTAACCCTGTGCAGGCCTCCCAGCTCGAGGAGGAATTTGACTCTGACTCAGGCCTCTCCCTGGACTCGAGCCATAGCCCTTCCTCCCTGAGCAGCTCTGAAGGCAGCTCCTCTTCCTCTTCTTCCTCCTCCTCCTCTTCCTCTGCTTCTTCCTCTGCCTCGTCCTCCTTTTCTGAGGAAGGCGCCGTTGGTTACAGCTCTGATTCTGAGACCCTGGATCTGGAAGAGGCCGAGGGCGCTGTGGGCTACCAGCCTGAGTATTCCAAGTTCTGTCGCATGAGCTACCAGGATCCGTCTCAGCTCTCCTGCCTCCCCTACTTGGAGCATGTGGGCCACAACCACACATACAACATGGCGCCCAGTGCCCTCGACTCTGCTGACCTGCCACCACCCAGCACCCTCAAGAAAGGCAGCAAGGAGAAGCAGGCCGACTTCCTGGACAAGCAGATGAGCCGGGATGAGCATCGAGCTCGAGCCATGAAGATCCCTTTCACCAATGACAAAATCATCAACCTGCCTGTGGAGGAGTTCAACGAGCTGCTGTCCAAGTACCAGCTGAGCGAGGCCCAGCTGAGCCTCATCCGGGACATCCGGCGCCGGGGCAAAAACAAGATGGCGGCACAGAACTGCCGCAAGCGTAAGCTGGACACCATCCTGAACTTGGAGCGCGACGTGGAGGACCTGCAGCGTGATAAAGCCCGGCTGCTGCGGGAGAAGGTGGAGTTCCTGCGGTCCCTGCGGCAGATGAAGCAGAAGGTCCAGAGCCTGTACCAGGAGGTGTTTGGGCGACTGCGGGATGAGAACGGGCGGCCCTACTCACCCAGTCAGTACGCCCTCCAGTATGCCGGGGACGGCAGCGTCCTCCTCATTCCCCGCACGATGGCAGACCAGCAGGCCCGGCGGCAAGAGAGGAAGCCAAAGGACCGGAGAAAATGAGCCTGGGGAGGAAGGGGAGTGGATGCTCACCACGACTGAAACTGGAGAAGGCCTTGGCCTGGACCTGGACCTACCGCGGGGACTTTCATCATGCCTTCTTATCCAATATATCTTCTCAGATGCGATGACTGCGGGTCAGTGTACAAGAGGCGGTGGGCGCCAGTGCTGTCTGGCTCAGCTTCCCCCATTGGGGTGGGGCGGAAGCGGCCAGACCATTTGGGTGGACAGGGTCCTCACCCTTACCCCTTTTCTGTGAAGGAAGGGTGGTGCTGGCATTGCTGGAAGTAGAGGAGCAATGGGGAGCGAAGGCCAGCAAAGGGGAAGGAAGGGAGGAAGGAAGGAAACCCAAAAAAATCAAAGCGGGAAGATAGTCAAAGGGAAGGTTAAGGTTTTTTAAGGTTGGCTTTGGCCAGGATTCCAGGCAGCAGGTTTGAGTGACTGTGGTGGGCCTAGGTTATGGGTGTGATAAAGTCCATTTCACCCGGGGTGGGGAGGGGGTGTACGCAGACACAGGTTAGGGTCAGGGAGGGACGTTGTTAGTTATCTGCTCCTTGCACTTTGGCATCCCTGAAGGGGAGCTCTTGGATATCACCTGTAAGGTTTCAATCCAATGGGAGCCACTGGGACACAACACTGGCTTGGAGGTTAAGTCAAAGGGCAGAGTGAACAGGGAAGGGAAAGCCTTTGTTGCAGCAGCCCCAACACCAAGCATGTCACTCACTGCTCTGTCACTGCCATCTCCCCCCATGCTTCAGCCACCCCTTGGCTGAGGCTCCCTGTCTCCATCAGAGCCTGCATGTGAATGCTGTCCTCTTCCCACCCGTGTTTGTGTTCCCCCACCCCTCATCGCCTGCCTGCAGCTCTTCTGTAGCTGGGTTGCTGTGCTGGCAGTGCTGGGATCTGGGCCTGCAGCCTTCCTCTTCTGGGGGCTGCACTGAGGCAGGGGGATGATTGATGTGGAGGGAGAAGCCAGCGCAACAACCTCCAGGCAGTATTCAGCACAACACTGAGGAGTGACCCTTCCCTCAGGCTTCTGCCTACCAACAACTGGGCTTGTCACTGGAAAAAACAAACCCTACAAAACCCAGCAACAAAAAACTAGTCCTCTTAGAATTTCTCGCGCTTTGATTTTTCTTTTTAGGGCTTGTGCCCTGTTTCACTTATAGGGTCTAGAATGTTTGTGTTGAGTTGAAAGGAGATGCCCCAATATTCAGAGCTGCTAAATGTTCTCTTTGCCATAAAGACTCCGTGTAACTGTGTGAACACTTGGGATTTTTCTCCTCTGTCCCGAGGTCTCTGTCTGCTTTCTTTTTCGGGTTTCTTTCTAAGATAATGAGAAGTGCATGTAAGTGGGGCTCAGAGCACTCTCACCCTCAGAGCACTCGGCCACAGGTTGCTTCTCCACAGCCCCAGTTTAGCCTGGGCTCCTGGAGGACTGCCTGGGGGAGGCACAGAGGGAGAGTGCCAGGGTGGCCAGATGGTTCCAGGACCACAATGTCTTTATTTTTAACTTTGCCACTGCTGCCCCCACCCCTGCCTGGCTGTGGAGTACTGCCTGCCCCAGACTAGCAGGAGTGAATTGGGGGGAAAGCACTGAATCCTCTCCCCTTGCGGGTAGACGGGGGTGGGGTGGGGGGGTGGTCCCTAACTGAGCAGTAGGGATAGAAGGCGTGAGCCTGGGAATGCTTTTATAAATTATTTTCCTTGTAGACTTTATTTTTAATTTATCTCTGTGACCTGCAGGGAGAGGAGAGAAAGAGATGCTGTGAGCACATGACAAAATAAAATAAAATAAAATGGATGATTCATTCTCAAGTGCAGTTTTTCCCCACTTTGACTTTATTTAAATTGAGAGTAAAGGAAACAGGCTTCACAGATGGGAAGACTGGCCATTTTGTGGTTAAGGCAGAGCTCACAAAAGAAGGTGGGTGGAGAGCAGAGACAATGGAGAATTTGAAGACAAGTCTTAAATCCTGTATTGAACCTTTCAGGTGGGTGTTATGTACCTCTATAGGGTTTGCCAGCTGAATCATCTCAGAGGAAGGATTCAGAATTCTTTTGGCCTCCAGATTCTCATAGAGCTAGGATAGTTGGAGGATGTGTCACCTGGCTCAGCTCCTTACCTGTCCACCTGCTACAAACTGCATTTTTGTTTGTGCTGTTATTTCTCGGGTGGCCACACCTGCTGAAGGGGTGCAGAGCACCGGAGTGTAGTCATGATGATGAAAACCTGAGAAATCAATGGGACCAGCTAACACATGGCAAGCACTAGTGTAACCAACAGCAGGGCCACAGAACAAGAGAATCAGGGAGCTAGGAAACCTCACTAGCTAAGGTGACTAATCTGTTCTCCCTCCAAAAAAAATGGCTCTAACACCCAGCTTGTGAAGAGCTGTAATGCTTTAAGGTACCTATGGGTGGACATTGGAACTCCCACATGCCATCTCAGGGTGGGTGTTTAACCGTCACTCACTTGGCAGTCTTCTGTGAAATAACTGGACGAAGTTTAGGGGTAGAACCTGTGGTCCTCAACTCCTGGGTACCACTGTGTAATCTGGCTCTGCTCAGTTCTTTAATGAGTGTCCTAAGAAGTGTAATAGAATTTTAAGAATAACATTGATTTTTATTATTATGTTTCAGTTTACAACCCGTGCTGCTCCCCATCTCTAGTTGGAAGAGATTTTATCAAACAAACTTTCCTAATTAGGAACTGAAATTTCGGGCCGGCCTGTGGCTCACTCGGGAGAGTGCGGTGCTGATAACGCCAAGGCCATGGGTTTGGATCCCATATAGGGATGGCCGGTTAGCTCACTGGGTGAGCGTGGTGCTGACAACACCAAGTCAAGGGTTAAGATCCCCTTACCGGTCATCATTTTTTTTTTTTTTTAAAAAAGAACAAATTTCTGTAAGCCAGATAAAACCAAGATTCTTAAGG